CTTTTGCAGCTGCTTCTATCATTACGAAGCAGTCCAAATTTTTAATAAAAAAACAAAACAAGAACGTATTAGATGTATATATTTGATCTCAAAACCTACCTTTTAATTATAATAGATAGACAATGACGTGTATACGATATATATATATGTGTGTGTTCTTACGAAAGCAATGACAATCCGTTGAAGCGAAACAATGTATCTCTTTCAAAAGGATTAAATAGTATAACATCAATCAATGTTGCTTGGAAATAAAGATAAATATCTTTTATTCGTTTTTTTTATCAATGCTGATGATAGATATGATAATAAAATTATGAGAAAATTCAGATATCATATCATTCACTTATGCGTTATTCTTTAGAAAAAGATTAGATATATATATATATATTAATATAGCATATAAAATTACATAATATTATACTAAGATTGAGATATAATCGTTATTCACACTTTATTTTAAAGTTTCATATAATAAGATAAAGTCTAAAGATACGAATTCTTTTAGATTTTTTGATCAATTAAATTTTTGTACTAAGAAAATATAATGAATATATGAAATACTAATATGTATCACATTCGAGATTTTTCATTATTTATACATATATATCTTTTACTTATACGCTAAGTAGAATTTTAAAATACAATGAATGATATATAATATCAGAATTTTCTTCGTATATATATTTATAGATCATAAAACAACAATGAGTTTGTTTATTTTGGAATTGCCACAAATATAGTGAAAAAAAAAAAGAAAAAGAAAATAAACAAAACTGGATTGAGTAAAATTGAATAACCTTTCAATAGGAAAGAAAAACTATTAATCGGTCTTATGCACTCTTCACATTCTCCTGACGAAAAAGGAATAATAAATAAATAAATAGAAAGAAAAAAAGATGAACTGTTTATAATACGCACAAACAACACACACACACACCAACAAAAAACAAAAACCGAATAACTAAAATTCCTTCTATTTTTTTTTTATTTTGCAAAAAAAAAAGAAGAGAGAAAAAGAAACTGAATGTTATTTTGTCGTATCAATTGATTCCCATCCAGCATCATCATCATCCGCCCATTTCTCATCATCGAATGTAATTAAATTAGGTGCTGGTGCTGATTTAGGTTTTGATGGAAGAGTAGATGAATTCGTATTTCCTTTTGTTTTCGAAGATGTAGGTCGACTTGAAGCAGTTGATGATTTTGAACTTGGTTCATCATTTAACCATGATTCAAAACTTAGATCACGGTCTGGTTTTGATATATCATTATTGGATTGTGACTGTTGTTGTTGTTGTTGTTGTTGTTGCTGTTGACGATTTGGTAAACTACTAGAAGTATCCTGATAACCAGAATCATTATTATATGTTGATGAAGATGATGGATTTTGATATGAAGAGGCCCAATCATTCTAGAAATAAAATAGTTTCAATAATTTATAGGTAAGTTTTTAGTTTCATAAGTTATTTAATAACTCTTTGAATCCTGATGAAAGACACATACATTCTACTTTGAGAATTTTCTAATCTTCGAATTTTGAAGAAATATTTTCAATAAATATTAGAAGCTAGCAGAGATCCGCACGGATGATAAGGTGTATGACAGATATTGAAAGGTACAATATGTAAAGTTTTTTTTCAGGCCATAAAACATTTTCACTCTACAAACTGGATTTTAAAAATTTTTGTTTATTTTTCTTTTCTTCAAAATCTGTACCCATTACGTATATGTCTGGTAGTTCAATACTTTGCAAAATGATTAAATTCATTCATCTTATCTATATAAATCTTCTGATAAGAAAACAAAATGCTATAGAATTGATGAAAAGTCAAAGAGAAACTGAATAAGAATATTATTGCATTTTCTAAATATATCATTGTGTCAATTCTTTTATTTACTACAAATACGTCACTCATTCTAATATTAGTGCACTATTAGTATTATACTCGTAGGCAACTATGATAGTTGAAAATGGACGAACGTCATTTGATGATAAGTAACAAGAGAAAGAAACATATATTGAAAAGAGGATTAGTAACACAGAAAGTTCTAAAAAACGCCAACTTGTTGCTTACACGTCAAATTATCGTCGACGCACTTATATTAGTACAAAAGAGAAAGAGAACAGGACGAATATAATATGTATCTTTTGTTGTGTTACTCATTGGATAAAAAAATTACTTTTTTGTTCTATCACAAAAACTACGTGTATCAATAATAAAACTAATGATTATGTCAGTAACTATAATAATAATATTTTATTAAAACGTAATAATGACTAAAAAAGATTTTAATCATCATATGGTCACGTGTTTTCTTAGTTGTGAGTTAACTTAATGTTTCATACGGTTATCTAGTTAGTTTACACCAAGTTTCATCAAATTCGGTTTAGTAGAAAAAATTCAGGACTTAAAGAATTAAACACATATTTTATCTAACGAGGAAAGACTGATATTTTGCCCTATAGTAATTCCAAGGAGACTAATAGAAACTTAATATGCGATGTAAAAGTTTTCGAAAAAATATCAAACTCTGTTATACTATATAAAATTCAGTAACATAGACTGCATTGTATGTGCGATATTAAATGTTTGAAAAATTCTAAAATCTTGAAATAAATTTTAAAATATCATTCAATGTAATACATCATTTTGTTATAGTTATTTTATGATGCATTGAAAAGTGATGAAATTTAAATTGTTTAATAATTTTATTTATCTCAAAAAGACTTTAAAATTGAATGATATTGATTGAAAAAAGAATTTTTTGTTTGCTTACAACATCCGAATAATTATAATTATTATGCAATCGTTGATCTTCTCTATTAGCTGAATGATAATCTTTTCCTGACCATAATGATTGCATATCCGACCATGTTTTTGTACCAATTTTACCCATTGATGATGCAATATTTGTTACACCTGATTGAACATTAGTTAATAATGAACCATCTTTAGCTTGTTCAGTTACTTTTGATGTTATTTCAGTAGCTTTTTCAGCAGCTGTTTTTGATAAACGAAAAACAGAATCTTTAGCAACACCAGCCCATTTAGCTGCATTAACACTCATATTTGAAATTGATGATGCAAGTAAATCAGGATTTGATGATGGACGTTGTGATGATGTATCATAATTTGTATTTCCAAAACCCCAATATTTTGGATTACCACTACCAAGACCAGATTGATATTGTTGTTCATTTGAACTACTATTTTGATAACCACCACTACCACCATAATCTTCATTTCGATGATCAAATGATTTAAATTGTGCCCAATCTGATGAAGTTTGCTAATAGATTTAAAAAGACAAACAAAAAAAAAAAAAATAAAATTAGTTTTTTTTATTGTCTAAGTTAGTTTACTTTCGATGGTTTTTCAGTATAATTTATTGATGAAGATGATCCATAAGGTGAACTATGATTTTGTGCTGGTGAAGAATTTATTGACCATGCTCTACCTTGAGCTTCTGTTGTTATTTTATCTCGATAAAGTGCAGCAGCACGTGTATTATATCGTTGTTGTAAACTCATTGTATTAGCATTATAATCTGATTGACTGGCCAAAAATTCTTTTGCTTTACGATTTCCACCGACTTTCATTTTTTCTAATTCAACATCTTTCCATTTATCCATTGTTATTGAACGTACAAATGACAAATGAACACCAAGTCCACGATGTTTACCAGAACATTCAAGACATATAAAAATACCTAAAACATATACCAAATGAATAAATAATAATTAGAATCGAACAATTAAATGAATCAAATTTTATCATAAACGAGAAGAGTTTCCTAACATGTAATATTATTTTATGTAACTGAATCAGAGATGTCCATCGCGGTTGAAAACTGACCGCTGCTGCGCCGCGACGATAAAAGAAAAAAGCGAACGCGCCGCTACCGCACCGCGGTGATAAAAACAGAAAACCTGCCGCGACGCCACCAAAAATAACCATGCCGCGACCGTGCCGCTGCCGCGACCGTGCCGCTGCCGCGACCGTGCCGCTGCCGCGACCGTGCCGCTGCCGCGACCGTGCCGCTGCCGCGACCGTGCCGCTGCCGCGATGATTGTTAGAATAATGTTGTGAATTTTACGATCCTGACTGTTCAGGACTAGAGCTGTTGTTACCAATCGATAAGAATCGTTGAATCTCTTAGTTTTGCACTTGCAAACATTGAAATTCTGTTCGAATTCATGCATTTTTGCATTGTTCTCCAAAAAAACCTACCGCTACCGCGCCGCTGCCGCGATAGTTAGTTAAAAAACGACCGCTGCCGCGCCGCCACCGCCACAGCGGCAGCGGTCGCGCCGCGATGGACATCTCTGGACTGAATAGAAATGTTAATATCTCGACTCTAGGTATTATTACAAATACTGGAAATCGATTGTTAATTGACTTCTTCAATTGAAATCTCTCTGTTTGAATTCATCAGTGGAACTCTTAATTGACATAAAAAAATCATTCAAGAGTTCGTATTTTTCAGTGTTTCTTCTTGAGTTATGGTCAATTTAGTCTAGTGCTAACATGTTTATAGAAAAAATTCTTTTCTCACAAAAGCTCTTGCAGTAATCTATTTTCTAGATACTCGAAAAGAACGATCTAAGGACATGAACTAGGTATGTGTGGAACCGAAAACATGAGAAAAATATTTACCGAACTTGACATCCAATCAAATGAACGTGTCTTCTTAAGGCTGCATCTACAGTAAAAAAAACAATTTCTCTTACCGTACGAAACCGAAACCCATTGAGGATTTAATGCTCCGCATTCAAAACAAACATTATTATCATCTTTTAATTTGAGATCTTTTAAAACCGATCGAGTACGTGGACTAGCCATTTGTTATTATTAATAAAAATCTACAACAAGTGTTGTTATGTAATTTAGAAATGTCAAATAATTTATTCTCTGAATTCTACAGAGAATACAAAAAAAAAACAAAAACAAATAAATATACATGATTTTAAAAGAAAAACAATTAAAAAAAAATTAAAACTATTCATTATTTTGTTCTTTTACATCGGATAAAGATTCATTTTGATTAGTCGATTTTTTACTGTTACTTTTTGATCTATCCTTTGATCGTCTACGATGATGATTACTATTTCGTTCATCATCACTATCATGTCGAGATCGTTTAGAAGATTTTTTATGATGAATATGACGTGATCGATTTGCTGGTGATGATGAAGATGTTACTTGATCAGATTCAGATGTTTGTTCATTTAATATTTGAGATGATTCACTTGGTATTGAAACAGTTGTATTTATTTTTGATGGTGAAGAACTATTTTTTGTTGGTGTACGACGTGATGAACGATAATTACGAGATGATTCATCATCAATTCGATGATGACGATTACTATCATCTCTATGTTGTCGTCTTAAATAAAATAAAATATTTCTAGATAATATAAAAGAAAAGAAAAAAAAAAATTTTTACTTTCGTGAATGATGTTCATATTTATCATCTCGATCTCTTGATGATTTTCGATCATTTTTTGGTCGTTCATACTCATCAATTCGATGTCGTGAATGATAAGATGATGATGATGAACGATGTCGAGAAGTTAAATGATATTCACGATCATCTCTTGAGGAAAAAAAAACAAAAACAAAGAATATTATTTATTAATTCATATTTAAAATTATGTATTATACCTGTATCTTTCTTTATATCGATCATCTTTAGATGATTTATCATTATCAACAGTATTACTAGTTCGAGTTTCTTCTGGTGTTGAACTATGTGATGAACGATTTTCAGGTGTTGGACTTCGACTTGATGGCGCTACACGTCCATTATTATTAGTTACTGATACAGTAATTTGTGGTGGAAATGGTCCAGGTGGAAAATTATGCACAGGTGGTACACTAGTTCTATAGAATAAAAACAATAGATCGTATGAATTAAATGAAATACTAACTTATCCCATGGTTGTGGAGCACGATGAGGTATAAAATATGGTTGTGGAAGTCTAAATTACATTTCTTAGGATTGTATTATGAGGGGAAAAAAACGAACGAAATTTGTACCTATCACCATGCATTCCTCCTGCAGAAGATCCACGAGGAAAAAATTGTGGACCACCCGGTGCATGCAAATGACCAAATGGAACTCGAAATGGAATACCAGGTGGTAAGGATATCATAGGTAATCGATTCATACCCAAGGATGGTATATGATGAGTATTACCTGGTGGTGGAGGACCATTAGAAGTTGATGGTGTTGATATAAGATCACCTACTGTTTGTCCACTAGGTGGTTGACCAGTAAGACTAAAAACAAGGAAGAAAGAAAATTAATGGTAATTTGAATGAGAGACGATATTAAAAATTACAATTGAAGACCATTTAGAAATTGTGGATGTTCAAAATTATTTGATGCTTCAAACATTGATCGACGAGAGGTATGATCAGTTGCACCTTAAAATATAAAATTTATCGATTAATTAATGATAATTGTTTATATTACCGATAACATCAATTTTTCCATCAGGTTTTCTTATATTCATAGGACGTGATATCATTGGCATATTCATAGATTTATTTATCATCATGATTGGATGAGAATTTATTGGATGAATTATTGGAGGATGACCTGGAAGCATTGGTGAAATCTAGGAATCAAAAAAGAAAACTCTGCATAAAACAGATAATTAATGATTGATTGATCAATTTTACATGAGTAGTATTATGACGTGCTAAATTATTTTCATTACGTAAACGTCGTTGTCGATCACAATATTGTACCCATGTTTCTTCCGTAAAACCATAATTAAAATATTCAGTAATATCCGCTCCTAAAATCGTTATACTAGTAGAAAAATTAAGCAATATATCGATGTATTTTTTTTTATGATTTTGAGACGTTTAAAAAAACAAACTATAAGCATAATCTCTGATGAACAGATAAAAACGAAAAACAAGAAAAATTCAGAGTAAGAATGTTTCTAGAGATTTGTTATATATATATATATTTCAATAGACAATATTTTTTATCAACATAATAAATCAAACCTGGTTTTTTCCATGGTTTTTCTTCATCTTTATATGCATTCATTATATCATGTTCATATGTCGGTTGTCCATTAATAAAACCTTGTGCATCGAGATCTACACCTCGTATTATTGATGGTTTTGGTGGAATAGCAGCAGAAGTTCCTAGGAAATCATTAAAATTAAATTAATCAATGATAGATATAAAAAAAGAAAACAACAACAAATTTTTATTTACCTGATAACATTCCTCGAGGTTTTGGTCGATTTGTTTGAAAATTTGTTATTTCTGGTTCATAATCACCGATAGTCACTTGAATTCCATCATCATCTTCTGAATCATCATCTAATTGATTATCAACTAATGATGTTGTTGTTGTTGTTGCTGCTGCTGCTGCTGCTTTTTCCTAAAAATACACATAATTTAAACAAAATGTTTGCCTATTAAAGAATCGAATCGGAAGCGTAATATTATATAAATTTTTACATACTCTTGCATTAATTTCTTGTGTTGTTATTTCATCAATGGACGGTGCTGTTGTATTATCTCTATGAATAATAAAAATTTAATCAATATAAAGAAAAATTATTATTTTTAAATTTACATATTTTCATCACTTTTTGATTTATTATCTATGATTAAAAAAAAAACAAAAGAGTTATTGAAATATAAATTAATATTTATTTTTCTTACGTTCATATAACCAAGTTTCTTCATCTTCATTCTTAGCAACAGATTCTTGAACTATATGATCTGTTTCTGTTAATAAATCATTTGGAGATGGAATTTCGTCAATCGTTGTTTTAGACATGGTTCTAAAAAAATAATAAGAAAAAGGTTTTTTTTTTTTTTTGCAAATATATGTTGACGTGAGACATAAAAATATAACCAATTGTCAATAAGTTAAATATTCTGAATATTAAATATGACCTCTATTGATTAATTATTTTATTCGTTCATCAAATAAGCCAATACTCTTCGTCACGATTGATCAATCAAAAAAGAAGCAACTGATGAAAACACTCAACAATAAAACGAATGAGATCTTTTCATGCCAATCATTCCAATTGTAGGAAACAATTATAAAATGTCATATAAGTTCTACCATATTTTTTTCTTAATCTTTTATTTCATTGATTGACCCTTGCATAATGAAAATATCAATGATACTAAAATAGAACATTTATATTGCACTGCAAGTTTTTTACTTTCTCGACATACTCAGAGTGCTGCGATATTCGTTTAAATCTTGTTATAAAATTGCATGTTTCTATATGATAGATTTTTTTTTCTTGAAACTTCGACATAAAATTCCGTTCATTCTCAGTTCGCTTCCACAAAATGATGATTTTGAAGTAAAAACTGTTTTTTTTTTTTCGAGACGATGAAAACGAATTTCAGAGCAATAATAATTAGATCGAATATTGATGTCAACACTCACACTATTAATTCGAAAATTTTATAATCTCATAAATGATGAGTGCAGTTTGAGTCTACGAATGAATATACAAAATGAACTAATTTAGAATCTGGATATAAATGACAACAATATAATCGAGTAATCATGAAAAATCAGAGATATTATGTCTTATTTTTAAAACAAATTAATGGTGATAATTTCACTTAGATTTCCCTTAAGAATAGTATGAGATCATGGATGCAAAAAAAGTACTTTTACATCTTATGTTAGAATTGATTGATTTTTCATTTAAAGAAAAAACAATTCTTAATAGCGATGACAGACTTCTACTTGTTCTTTCATCTGCTTCGTATTATGCTAAATTCTTAATGGAGTAGAAAGAAGAAAAAACTCACCGACATCAGCATTCGCCATACATTTTCTATGTACAAATTCATTTATAGCAATACAAGAAGAAAGAGGAAAGAAACTTTCAAAAATCTTCAAAGTGAAATGAAAAGTGATATCCTGTATGAAAATTATGTTGCCATGCAGGATTTTTTTTGTTTATTTGTTTTCCTTTAGCACAAGAGACAGCGACTGATGAGAAATAAGTGAAGTACTTGATTGAAACGAAAATGCTCAGAATCGAAACGACAACAACAAGCAAAAGTACATAGAAAAATCTAGAAGGTCCTAGCATATTGCATAAGTTTAAGTTATTTTGCTTGTTCTCATCGATCAAACATAATGGACCAAAAGAAAAAGTTGGCAACAACAATTATTGCCATTGTCACATCATCTGAACATACGAGCATAAGACTACGGTGACCTCCTCATGGTCGTATGGTTCAGAACTTTTTGCTCGTCTGGTTCGACAGCAACATCGATTTAGAGAACAACAAGGATTGTCAGCATACTATCTCAAAATTAAAAGAAGTAGTCAACAATGACAATACATTTGCCGATGTACATGAAGGGTGTGTGTGAGTGTGCATGTGGGGTGTGAATGTTGATGTTATTGACTTGCACCAACACGTCCACACCCACATCCCGAAACCCAACTGTAACAGGATGGAATCTAACAGTGAATGGAGCAGCGAAAAATATTGCTTCAGTTTTTATTGCTTGTCATCTATTTAGTTTTCTCCTACAGACGTGTACCATGCTTTCAATTGCCATCGAAATGCAACCTAATCACATGTAGTTGCGAAAAAAAATCGTAGTTACATGCTACTGAGATCTTTTTCATCGTAATTAAGCGCAACTGCATCGCAGTTCTTCGCAGTTACGATTAAAATGCGTCGTCGATGCGCCGTAATTGCGTCGCATTTCAATTGTAACTGGAAAAAGTACGACGCAGTTGCGCGTAACTACAGTTTTTTTCGCAATTATGTGCAGCTGCAGTTTTTTCTTTATTGTGCGTAACTGCGCCGTATTTTTACGCAATTAAGGGTTGCAGTGCGACCACCGCTGCGGCGTAACTGGGTCGCAGTTGCTAAAAAATAGGCGACATGAGGTAAAGTTATTAATCTTTTTCCTTCAGGAATCTCTGTTTATTCTTCGTTCCGATCGTATGTTGGTATAAGAAAAAAAAACAAGCAAAAAAAGAAGTGAGCGAGTAGCTCTCGTCATACTGAAAAAGATATTTATTCAGTCATTTTGTAGGTGTATTACTTCGTTGGTAAGGTGCACCAAGGGCAAAACGTAAGCAAAAAAAAAGTTTTTTTGTTTTTCACATCATTTGATAGAGCTCGTCGAGTTGATTCCGAATATATATATTTTATTGTGTTTTGATCAAGTTTTGGGTCTGAAAACTTGAAAATATTATAAAAAATTGAAAAGGGAAAAAATTTATTGTTTTGGAAGAAAACGTGAAATTTCGCTCCTTTCTACTAAAGATAGGCTTTCAAAACTGCTTTATTCCGATTCAGCATCTCAAACTGAGTATTAAAATGTAGACTCAAACGAACTTCAACATAGCCAAAATTTTCCATGAGATCAATTAGGATAAAAAAGTGACTCGTAGACACTCATCTGTTGTAAACCTATCTAGTCTTTTGTTTGAAAAAAATTTCTAAATATTTATAGACCAATCGAATCGTCATTCGACAAGGAAAAAGTGTACATATGGGTTTTAAGAAATTTTGTTCTCCGGCTGAGACATAGAGTATTTACTAAATCATTAACGATCAGGCTAAATTCGACCCCGGAATTGCTATTTTTTGCACCAAAATTCAATCAGAATGCAAAGTTAATACCATATTCGGAATCAGCATAAAAATCGGAGTCGAATATAATGGGTTTCGAATCAATCGGACGACTTTCGTTGTCTGACGAAAATCTTGGGTGAGTTGTTCCTGTAGCAAATAAAAAAAAAAAAAAGTGTTCCGAAATGATTCTTTCTATCACATTCGACTCACATTTTTATGCTGATTCCGAATATGGTATTTATTTTGCATTCTGATTGAATTTTGGTGCAAAAAATGGCAATTCCGGGGTCGAATTTAGCCTGATCGTTAATGATTTAGTAAATACTCTATGTCTCAGCCGGAGAACAAAATTTCTTAAAACCCATATGTACACTTTTTCCTTGTCGAATGACGATTCGATTGGTCTATAAATATTTAGAAATTTTTTTCAAACAAAAGACTAGATAGGTTTACAACAGATGAGTGTCTACGAGTCACTTTTTCATCCTAATTGATCTCATGGAAAATTTTGGCTATGTTGAACTTCGTTTGAGGCTACATTTTAACACTCAGTTTGAGATGCTGAATCAGAATAAAGCAGTTTTGAAAGCCTATCTTTAGTGGAAAGGAGCGAAATTTCACGTTTTCTTCCAAAACAATAAATTTTTTATAGTATTTTCAAGTTTTAAGACCCAAAACTTGATCAAAACACAATAAAATATACATATTCGGAATCAACTCGACGAGCTCTATCAAATGATGTGAAAAACAAAAAAACTTTTTTTTTGCTTGCGTTTTGCCCTTGGTGCACCTTAAATGAACACCGATCGTATGTATTTTTAATAGTACGAGATATTTTTCACTTACTAGAATAGTACTTAGGGTATACCAAAAGTAATAACTCCGGTACTGTAATATCTCATAGACAGCTCCAGAAAACTTTCGCTCCATATAAACTGATAGTCCAAAGAACGCTCTATAATTCTACAATATTTCATCATTCTTCAGTTGCTAACATTGTATTGGGAACGCAACAAAAGTAGTGGTGGTCCGACGAAAAAAACAATTTTTAGGATATTCAGTAAATCACTAAACAAACAAAAAATTGAATATCTCTGTTATATTGTGACCAAGTAAAGTGATATTTTTACTACTGATAAAGGAACGTTCATAGCTCATATTGATAAGAGAAATATTGAGGAAAACTGTTTTCGAATATCATAACTGACTTCGTCAAATAAGTGTAATCTCCTCGAGTTACGAGAAAAACAATATATTTATTTTGTAGCAAAGAATAAACTATATATCTACTTTCTTTTATTTCTTTGCACTGGGATCTTTTCTTCTCATCATCACTTCACAGATGTATGTCTTGTTATTTAATATACCCTGAAAGTGTCAGTCATAAGCAGCAAGAATTTGTAGAGAAAACTGCCATATTGATCGCTGATAATCCGTGAAAAATTACCCTTATTCGGCAAAATCAGTTATGATATTTGAAAACAGTTTTCCTCAATGTTTCTCTTATCAATATGAGTTATGAACATTTTTTTATCAATGGTAAAAAGCTATGGTAGAAAAAGGTAGAAAAGAAAATGTCGCAAGGACAAAGACAGAAAAGGGATAAAAGCGAAAAGGAAAAGAACGAAATAGAAAATGTCTCAAGGAAAAATATCGCATAGAAACAATCTCGAAAAGCAAAACGTCGAAAGAAAAACATTAAAGGAATAAAAAATCATTAACATAAACATGTTAACCAATTATTAAGAAATTTATTGAATAGAAGCATGTAAAAACAGAATCATCTATAGTGTAATTGAGATGATGAATAAATTAACAAAATATCCGAGCTATGGATGAAAGTAATGAATCATTTTTTCTTTTGGATGGAGTATTTCTCATCAGAGACTGAAACGAGTCAAAATCCATCCGACTCGACTCGACTCGATTCAATTCATGTCAAGTCGAGCCTCGATCCTACAACGAATTTTCAAAATCATATTTTATTTGATAATAAGAATAAGTGACAAAATTAACAAACTTCACAAGAATGAGTTAAGAGAAAAACAAACTTTAAGCGGGATTAATCGCTTGTTGTTCTTAATGGAACGCAAGAAAATCAAATTATTGACCACTGAAGGATCAAGATTTGAGTGCCTCTGAGTCACAATCTGGCCAGCTGCACTGAATTGACGTTCAACCGCCACAGAACTGCAATTA